TACTTTTTGCGTACAATTGCCTGGAGAACAAAAGAAACAATTTTGATATTTTTAGAACTGTACTGCAACACTGCTTCTCATATTATTAGGCCTTGTAATGTAATAGTGCTGGTAAAAATAACTATTTTATTTAAGAGAAAGAGTGTAGGCGCACTCCGTTCACGCGTAAGCTTACAAGGCACCGAATGCTGCAACCACACCCGCCATCCCGCTAGCTTACGGCCTCTGGAAATGATCTTAGAAATTGTGCAGACAAAGCTAGCGGTGAGCATGCTCAGTGACAGCGTCTACCTCCGCTACGAGATTCGGAGCTAAAGAAGCGATCTACGAAAGCTCCTTTCTGACTCGGGTAAGTCGCCTGTTATTCACAAGAAAAGAAAAACTTAGTTCTAGCGTTGCCTTATATTGCCAATGCAGAGTGTAGTTGACCCAGCTGGCCTTGATGTGTTTCCATAGATTAGTTTGTTGTTCTTAGTGATGTCAATGTGTGTTTTTTAGCAAGAAAAATATGCACTGTAACTCTAGGTTGCCGTTTTTGAATGCCCTGAATTCTGTGCATCTCATTAGGAGATGGCCATGGAGACGACGGATACTCCATGACCGAAACCTCGACCAGTCAGAGAAAAAATTTCGCTTACGGGTTATTGATCGTCCATCGCTTCTGAGGTTGATACCAATATTCGGGGAGGACCGAGGAGCAGAGGGTACAGAAAGCGAGAGAAACGGTGGCCATCGGTCTCACAAAACAATACAGGATCACACCAATTAACCCGTTTTCTCTCTGTCAGCACTGTTTAGATAGCCTAACCCTCCCCCCCCCCCCTTTATGTTGACAGCTGACTGTAAACTGAGGAGTGGACTCCACCACCATGCCCAGACAAGCAAACCAAAAGACGTATCGTGCGTACCCTCGAACACTATGCTCTTTGCCTCACACTGGGCGCTCTTCAGCCATGCCTGCAAAACGTGCCACAATAGGGAGTATTCACTGGCGGCCATATGCGTGTGCGCTGCTGCTGAGCGCGTGCTGACGGCGAGCTTCCGCTGTACTTGTGGAGCGTGCACTTAGCACCATTAAGGTTGCCGGTCTTAGCAGGCTATTAATGCGAACTCGTTCTGAGCATGTTCTTTAAACATCACCCTCAAATATGGCGCCCAGTGAATACCTCCTGCCTCGCATCACATTAAAAAAGAATTCGACCCCCTCGCGTGAGGCTACATCGTCTGTTACACGAGTTGTGAACCCGCGAATTCAGGGGTACGAACCCGCGTTTGATGCCTGTGCAGGTGTTGGGAGACGTCAAAGTTGGAAAAAATGAAACGATGCAAAAGACAAAAACAAATAAAAAGGAAGAGCTCTCTCCTGCACGGGAGAAGAAGAAAAGCACGGTGGAAGGCGACGGAGAGCTTACTCGGCGTTGTCTAAATTGATCTTCGTCTTCCGCATATTTGTAAATGCCTTGACCGTTTTTCTAGTTGTTCAAGTGACCGGTCCTACAGAAAATCGTGTTTTTCTTTCCGGCTCTTCTCGCCTTCCTGATGTTTTCTATTTGGTTGAACTTGGTAGCTTTATGCTGCTGAATCTTCTGCTAGTATTGCTCCAGTTACTGTAATGGTCATATTAAAAAGTAACGAGTGATTAAAGTAATTGGTTACAAATTTTTCTAACGAAGTAACATTACAGATTATTTTAAACAAAAAGTAACCTGACAATTGCAAAGTTAATTCAAAAAGTAACGCATTACTTCCCAAGTCCGCCAAAGATCTTCGAGATTATAAAAATAATGAACAAAGGCCACCTTCACACAAGCCTGCTTGAAATTTAGATGAAACGTTTAACCATCAATTCTCCTGGTGAACGCGAGAAAAACGAACGAGTGCGAGATGTGTTAAAATCTTTTGAGTATTCTTGTACCAAATCGCCTCCTCCAAAATCTAAAATTGTACAGCAGAGGGCCCTCCTTAAAATCTCCAACTATCTTGTCCGTGTAGCATTTATGCTTTGTAGCATTGGTGACATAAGCAAGCTCAAGAGGCTTGCAAAGACGGTGCAATCGGAAGTCCCTCGGAACGAAAGCGGCAGTTCATGTTTGTAAACAGCAAAGGGGTCTTTACCATTTGATTCACGAAAGAAGAGTAAAAGCACCGCAACAAAACATTTTTTTTCGTACATCACAGACTTCATACGCCGACTTTGCCGCTGCAGCTGATGCAACCGCAAACTTTACCATGAAACGCATGCGGGGAGCGCTAAGCGCTTCACATTGTAACAGGTGCTAGTGACGTCACTCCTCACTTCCTACTCCGATACAGACTACAGACTGGCACGTAATTTGTTACAAGTAACCAAATTACTAGCAATCCCTTACATTTATTGGCAATTTAGTAACGGAATAATTACATATTTTCTACAGTAACATCAAATAGCCCTCCCCCCCTTCTAAAGAAAAGGTTCCAATTTGGTAAAGTTGAGCGCAGTGACACTGTCACGCGTATTGACAAGCGCAAAGGGAGGCTTGGCACTAGTAAGTTCCGCAAAGCCTTTTTTTTTGGAACACCAATTCTCTGAATCTTTTTTTAGACCACAACAACAATGTCAAAAAATCCAAGTAAACATTTCTACAAAACAAAAAAAAGGGGGGGGGGGCAAGTTATATACGCTTTTTTTGTGTGTCTTCGTTTTTTCTTTGCTATCGAAGGTGGGAAGAGGAAGACATCAAGTGGTTGTATGCCTGTTCGAGAAGCTCAAGGTGGTAAGTGTACAGACAAGAATTAACAATGTCCTTCTCGGTTATAGTCACTAGGACCAATTTCATAATGTCACTACAGAAGACAACGCTCCGTCTACTCTAAAATCCACTAAAAACGATGTGATAATATGTGAAGGTGTAATTCACAAGCATCCTCGTTCGTCGATGCACACTTATCATCTTCTCTTAGGAAAAAGGATATATCCTTCTTGTTTCTTTCACCTTATTTTACCCTGTTATTAAAGCTACTTACTTTTTTGTAGTCCAACTTCTAGGGTTTGCCAACTTTGTTTGTGAATTTCAGCCTGGTTATCTGCATCACAGTTGCCCTTTTTGTGAGTAAGCTTTTTGCGAGCACTTCGAAAATGGTAATAAGCTTCCTTCTTTTCTTCTTCCTGTTTTTGCCCCAGTAGAACGCATCTTATCCAAAGCAAACATTTTTACAAACAAAACATAAAGGTGGCTGACGCAGACTTGAGATTCTGGGCTTGAGGAGAGAGTGAAACTCGTGAGTGGGGCCATAGCGCGGACTACTTAATTCTCTGCCCTTCGGTGCCCGTGGCATCAGCTGACGTCTATCTGGAGAACACCGGAGTAAACAGCAGTCGGTTCGTGCTCCGCGCACTTTTGAACGACACCAAGAAAGGTACGCATGGCAAACGTACGTTTACATGTCCTTCTTTCAACAAACGTTCTAATTAATTGTTGTTATGAGTCTCCTGTTTTTTTTGTTTTTTTCTCGATTACTAATATTAAAATATTGGAAACTTTTTCTTATTCACAAACGTCTCAACCGAGGCTCGACCTGTTCAAAACGAAAGGAAGAAGAATATCGAGCGAAACTTTATTTATTATTTACTTATCACCTTACTGTTACCTACTCTGCTAAAACTCTCGAATATCAGGCAACGGCTGCAAGGACGAAGCTTCGCTCTATCTTTTAGGTAAATAGTACTTCCATTGCTTCGCTGAAAAAGCTCAATGCAAAGCATAAAACATTCGTGAGGCACAATATCGCACTCCCATCTAGTGCCTCAGTTCAAAGTGTGCTCAGCGTGTCAGTAGACATCTTCAGTAAAAAAATAACGCAAAATGTATGACGAGACTTTCGAGAGTCAGCTGTTGCTCAAAATACTCAAGGTCAATAAATGGAAAAGGTAGCAACAATAAAAACTTGAATAACCTTCTTCCATTTGTTTCTTAATTGAGAAAAATAATGTGGAAAGTAACGCCACGAATGTAACGGATTACTTTTGGGGGTAACGGTCACTTACCTTTTTGGGAGGGTAATTGTAATTGTAATAAATTACAATTTAGCCTTAAGTAAATTAGAATTTAGCCTTGAGTAATTGCAAATGTAATTCCTTAATATTTGTCAGTAACGTGTACCAGTCTGCTCAGATATTCTCGCGGCAAGTTATGAAATCGCAATGTGTACTGACAAACACATAAGGGGAGGGCTACGTGCTGCGATTGTTAGCGGGACTAGTGACGTTACTCCCCACTTCGTACACTGCCATTGCCGCGGTCGCTGATGCAACCGCAATGTTTGCCGAGAAACGCATACGGAGAGCGGTACGTGCTTCGCATTGTTAGCGGGACGAGTGACGTTACTTCTTAGTTCGTACTCAGCCGTTGCTGCGGCAGCTTATGCAATCGCAATGTTTACCGAGAAACACATACGGGGAGGGGAGTGCTACGTGCTTCGTATTGTTAGCGGGGTTAATGACATCACTCCCCACTTCGTACTATGCCGTTGCCTCTGCAGCTTATGGAACCGCAAATATCCCCGAGAAACACATAAGGAGAGCGCTACTTGACTATCATAGTTCATAAGGCGTCCGCCTTATAAACTATCTTGTGGTTTCGACGCTGGTTTTGTGTTTTTTTTAGTGATGATGATGATAAGGAGCGCGGGAACGGTAATCAGGCGCGCTCGATGGTTTTTTGTCGACTATGTTGTCTACCACTGCTCTGCCGACAAACGCAAAAAAAAAGCGACCAACGAGTCATATGTAGGTTTCCTGTAAAATGCAGGCATTGTACCTTCTTGTTTATATTTTCTTAAATTTGTTCCTCTAATAATCCACCACGGTGATATACCAATTCAGTGGATCTTCAAAAAAACCATGGATAACCAAACATTTTATTTGCATGTCAGTCCTAACGAAAAGAGTGACTTGCCTTTATTGCGTTAGAAGTGTACAATTGAAAATGCATGAAAATTATAATTTCGTAAGTGAAATGTGCCTAGTAGACGATGGTGCCGACTGGGCTATGCACGAAGTGTCCACCTCGGCTTTGGTGCATGGAGCTGTGAGAGCCGGTCACCACTGGAGCGTGGTGCACCTCGGATTGGTGGTGGGTACTGTGGGTAAAAAAAAAATGTTTTATGGTTCAGTTTTGTAAATTAATCAACGTGCAATAATATAGGGCTGCGAAACAACTCTAGATGCAGATTGTAGAATCCCAATTATCCTTAGACGTCCTTCATTTTAAATAGGTAAAATATTATTTTGTACAATAATGTAACTTTGTGTCTGTATCACATGACTGGAGCTGAACACATAACCGTATATGCGTTATCTCGTCAAGCCGAGAAAAAGCTCTTTCAGCGTGCGTTTACGGCAGCAAATCCAAGCGTTAAAGTCTTCAAACTATACTTATGCATGAAAGTCGCATGTTATGCCAGGTCACAACAGAAAACGCGATTATAAATCATACAAATTATAAACAAAAATGGTTCATGTTCAGACTGCTGCGCACCAAGTTACTCTAAGGGCACATCGTCTAGAACATACCCGGTTTTCCAAGATAAAGAGAGGCTCACCCGAAGAAGGGGTCGTGCTTGGTGATGGTGGTCTTTGGTTGGACGACCTTCTGCTGGCTGATGGTGTACCCGTGGGCGTGGGGCGGCACGTAGGCCACCTCGCTGTGGTGCTCCACCACTGGCTGACGCACCACCGTGGTGGCCACGGGGACGTGCACGGCGGCGGTGTGGTATGCGTAGGGCGCTACGTAGCCGGCCTGGCAGGTGGCGGCCAGCAGGACGAAGCAGGAAACAAGGGCGGCCTGCAAGTACACAAAGGAACCGGCTTCAGATTAGATAGTAAGTCAGAAATATATTTAAGCAATACGTCAGAGCGTTTTTCATAGCGCATTCTAGGAGGCAGTTTTTAATTATCGTGGGAAAAAACTAAAAAAAGCTTGATACGTCAAATTATACGCTCAGGAAGCGTTGTAGAAGTCTGCGCTCCAGACTTTTTAAACAGAGACGGAATTATCTAAGGCCGCATTAAACACCGCTACCGCAGGAGAAGATAAACATAAAGGCTTGCGACGACACTGTATTTATATTAGGAAGCAAGGAGCGAGTCGACTCGCTCCTTGCTTCCTGCTGGATGCCAACGATGGCTGAAATATTGGTTTAACGATGGCCTAAAAAAGGTGCCAATGATGGCTGGATCATTGGTTGAACGATGGCCCAACGTTGGCGCCAATGACGGCTGGAAGGTTGGTTGAACGATGGCCCAACGTTGGTGCCAATGATGGCTGGAACATTGGTTGAGCGACACTATATCGCGCTATAGACTCGTGTGCTTCACCCGCATGCAGCCTCGAGCGAGCTGTTTCGAATGTCGGTGCAAGACAAAGCAACGGCGTAGCAATCGCGACATGAGAACCGACTGCGCCTCGATCTGGCCGACCGCGCTCCCTCTGCTGCAATGTGAGCGTGGGAATCCCGAGCCCCGTTAGCTCACTGGTGTTGCAAAAGGCTGCTTTGTCGTTGAGACATTGCAAACGCCTGCGGACCGGAGCCATTGCAGTGCTTTGCGCATCTCCCGCGCAGCATCGCAACCTTTGTGGCGCCTGATAGGCCAACAGAGCCCGTAGCATGTGCTGCGGTTCATTCTAAGTTGAAGCAGAGATGCCGCGAAGTACGTGAACCGTTGCGACGATGCGTGATGTTGAAAAATAACATAGAAAAAATATCCCACAGGTTTTTCCAGTTTCAGATGCGGCGATTTGAGACATGAATGCTGTTAATGTCATGGAGGGATCAATTTGTTGACACTATTAATGCGTTCATTCGGCTCGCTCTCTACAGTATTGAACTGATCTTTTGATTTTTGAGACTTGCGCTTTTCTAGAGAGCTTCGTGACAACGCCAGTCGTCCTTTGGCGCACTGTATGCTGCGAAGCCAATAAACTACACCCAAAACCACTCCTTTGTAGTTCCGTGGAATTCTGGGGCCAGTGAATACAGTGAAGCGCCACAAAAGCCTTAAATGTTGCTTTCCACCCGCCTGTCTACTCTGGTCGGCTCGGACCAAAAAGAGACAAAAGGCGCCAAGAAAATCCCTTCCCTAGCAGTTCCGTGTCATTCCGGTGCCCGGAATATACAGTGAGACGCCACGCTGGCAGTTTTCCGAATTCACTGGGCATTCCCGGTCCAGATCTACTACGGCCAAGGCCCAATCTTGGCCCCATAGCTAGTCTAAGCAACTGTGCTGCCTGGTGTGTACCATGTTGTAAACTCCTTCATCAAGAATCTACTCAAAAACGACTTTCCAATTGACACCTTTGCCCTCAAATATGTATTTAATAAAAATTGCCAATTAGATTTAATTCATAAATAACTTATTCAATTACAGCGCCTTCCTAGCAGCATTTTTATCAAGACGCCTTCTTACAACAGTGATTTTCATTGCCTGGAGTACTTCATTCGTTTTTAAAGCTCGGTTCCAGAAAACGAGGCACCCTGCCATCTTACGCCCACATATTTTCAATGTTGGTAACCCATTGGCTAAGACAGGCCACTGTTGGCCAGACTAAGCCAATCGATTACCAATGATGGTGAGCCATTGGCTAAGAGAGGCAAATGGTGGCCAGCTTAAACCAGTCGACTGCCAACGTTGGTAACCGATTGGTTTTATTACAGTTTATATTTATGCGGGCGTTGTCCCTACCGTGGTCATTACTGCAGTCCTCGTATTTTGTACGCACTTTGAAGTGATTTTTGGGCAAGCAGACATATAATGCCCCAGCTTCTTCTGCTGTATGTTGCGTGATTACCTTTGCTGATTGAAATGCGCATCAACTTATCACACCTTTTACCTCAAAGATAGGGTGTTCGAGATCTTAATTCAACGTGATTTTTTCTGTTCGTGAAGACGTGTAATTGCTTAATTAATCGCTTGATATTTGATTTAAGGTTTTATTTTTTGCTAAAAAAATATTAGTGCTTTTTATTTATTCTTAATCTTGTCCGGTTTGGTCCGATAAATGGGCCGTGTTTTACGGCTCAGCGAAGCGGGTTACTTTGAGATTTTCAAGATCACATACGGCTGACAAAGCACCCGTGTCGTAGATACTGGGGAGGCCCGTGGAACTTTCGGGGTTGATCCCTGCGTCCCCTCTACCCCGCTTGGAAACGTTTCCTGGCTGCGTCGCTAAATGGGCATAACAGAAGAAGCACAATACTTTTTGCCTCATAAACAAACACACAAATCGAAGGAAGCGTGCATTTTGTATTTCGTGTGGAATTTACTGAGCATAACTATCAGCTTTGGTATGAAACGAGTTAGTTATAGTCGGTGACAGGTGGTACAAGCTCCTATTTCTTTTCACTTTTGCAGAGCGAAGGATCTGGAGGAGGCGATTTCCTCCCCAGCGTTTACTTTAAACCTGTCGCCGACTACGGCGTTTTTCTTCGTGGACGCTCAAAATTGCTACAGCTAGCAATGCATACAGCGTTCTAATTCAGGTGCTAACTTACTGTGCGTGTGAAAAGAGAAGAATCGTTCCCCCCGGGAGCCACATCTACAGACTGTTCTCAGGGTGCGCGATCAGCACATTGAAAAAACTAAGCCAAATAATTATATAACGCTGGTAAGCCACTGGCTAAGACAGGCCAATGTTGCCAAGTCTAAGTCAATCGATTACCAATGTTGGTTCCCCATTGGCTAAGACAGGGCAATATTGGCCAGCCTAACCCAATCAATTACCAATACTGGCAACTCATTGACTAACACAGGCCAATGTTGGCCAGCGTAGGCCAATTGATTGCCAACGTTGGTAAGCCATTGACTGAGACAGGCCAATGTTGTCCAGCCTAAGCCAATTGATTGCCAACGTTGGGAAGACGTTGGTAATGACAGGCCAATATATGCCAGTGCATGCCAGTGTACTGCCAACGTTGGCAGCACGATAGCTACATTGGCCCATCATTGGGCCATTGATCACCAAAAAAATTCCAATGTTGGCCCGACGTCGTGTGCTGCGTGGGTCGAGGGGCTTCATCTGTACTGTAAGAATTAATTTCTGCAGCCTCCGAGCAACAAATTGAAAAATAAACTCTATATTCGTGATCCTGGACGCCGAACGAAGACGCTTTTGTGATCTTCCTTAAATACAGTACAGCTTTAGTTTCCCTTTAAGTCTTGCAGTAGGCAAAATTTAAGTCGTCAGTTCCTGTCGTGTTTTTTTCCCTTTAACATCGCCTTGCATTCTTTATTATGAATGACTCCAGACTTAGCATTCTCGGAGCCTTCATACTAAAAAGCAGCGTTTTGAAGTAACTGTGAAAAAAGATTTTGTCGGTCTTGTCTTGTTATCCTGTTAGTTTGCAGGTTGTAAATCTTATGCAGCCCGTTAAGACGCCTTGGTCTGTAGAGTGTCAGTTGGGAACGTTTTGCTCTCTCTTGAGCCACCCATCTCTGCGCCCCGCCCCCTCTCGCCCCCCGCTCCCCCCCCCCCTCCCGCTCCCCATTTCAGATTAACAGGACGTTGCATGAAATAGCCATATGCCTCCAAAAAACCTGCACCTTAGCTTGGTAGCCAAACCCAGAATCTCCACCTCTGTGGTGCTCTCTTTCAGTCATCTCTGAATTGCACTCCAGGTGCGGGACCTACATCCAAAGAAAACGCTCGCAAATGGCAGACTGTGAACAGCACCTTGTGTGTAGCTAGTATGCAACCTTGTGTGTAGGTAGTATGCAAGGTATTGGCTTCCCCTATCCCTCGACTAATGTGTTATCTGACAATTCTCTTTACAGGTGCATACAAAGTCGCGCTCAAGGGTGCAGCGTGGACGCAATGGAGAGGTGGCTGGCGGGCAGCGGAAATAGAGTTGAAGAGACTGACACTCCACTGGTGGTTCCAACCGTCTTTGACGATCAGGCACACTCTGGCTGAGGAGCTAGCTGCTATGGATTCACGAGTCACAATAAAGAACGTCACGGTAAAAACATTTTGTATGTTTCCTTCTTGTAGTACCCACACTATGCATCTGGGTGACAGACGAATGGGACATGTCGTTTCAGCAAGTATAAAATATTTGCCATGAGTATATACTGTATACATGCCGAAAGTCAATTGTTCACACAGAATTGTTTCTTAAAAGTGCACAAATACTAAACTGGCTTGTTTCGGTTCGAGTCCGAGAAACGTATTAAAACGGCCAGCACCTATAAGAGATATGAAAACCGATGAAGTAGTTCGGAATGAGAATTTTAGAATTTTCACATTTAAGTGAATTTGATCTACTGAGAAGCTAGCTGTTCAAAATTTTAATGCAGTCGGATGTTTTACCTGGGCTTTAAAGCCTGACGCAGCTAGCATTCTAGTGGTTCTATGCTTGGTACACTAAATGGCAAATACGCTGGCGCTGATCCACAATTGCGCTCGCACTGATCTACTATTACGCTGGGAATAATCCGCAATCGGACTGGCTCTTACTCGGAAGTACACTGGCACACTGACTCTCTTCTACCGTACTGCCGGTTCCATGCCGGGGATCTGGGTCAGGATCTCACTGGGAACATCCCCTATTCCCGTCATCCCGGATCCCCAATAAGTTCCCGGTACCGGCCGGATTCCGTCATTGGTCCCGGCCGACGTCACCCCTTGGGGCGAATCCGGTACTGGTCGGTTTTAGTATCCGGCAAGACAATACCGCCCATCCCCAACCCGGCGTGGCGTGCTATTTGGGACATGCTGCTATTGGAAAAACGACGGCGCGTAAAAATGAAAGAAAATGACTGTTCTTAGAAGTTTTGTTATTTAAAAAAAAGGTGCCTTTATTTTTTTGTATTTTGGGGCATTTGGTCCAGAAGGATTGGCCATGAATTTGGAAGTTTCGCCAGTCGTCAAAACTCGCGACTTTGATATCGCCACATGCTTTACGCACAACCAGTGTCATTTTAGATGTATTTCTCGGAGAAGCTAGTATGTATTCATTGTTTTCATATTATTTGTATTTTATTTCCTCTTATTTAAAAATGCTGCTCTTTGCACCGGTAAGGATATTTCGCCAACTTCCGCTAGTTATAGTCGTTCGCCCGCTTTAAGTCAGATCATAAGCAACACACTAAATTATAGCTGAAAAGAATACTTATACAATACATTAATTGTATTATTAATAAAATATTGCGGTAATAAAGGCCTCCAATAAGTCTCACAATCACAAGAAATTCCCAATAATTGTCTTTACAATAGGTATATCGTTTTCTTTTTACCGCATAAAAAACTGACATCCTTGTCAACGTACACGTAAACATTGGGTGTAATATAAAGTCCCATGCGTCACGTGTTTTTCCTCAAAGAGACACACACACACACACACACACACACACACACACACACACACACACACACACACATACACACACACACACACACACTTTTGTCGTCTGACACGGATTAAGTTTTTGTAGTCAAAACAACGCGTCTCTTAACTTATACGTTTTTGTGTATATTTTCTAAAATCATGACCCGTGGAGATTTTTTGTAAAATTTCAATTGATTCTGTAATTCTCGTCCTGGGAATAATGCTAAATCTATTAATCATCTAAATGTGCAAAAACCCATCAAAGGGCACGCAGTTCATTAGGTCACAGGATAATTATCTGAGTAAGAAAATTTAGCACGAACTCACAAATACCAGCACTGATATTTTCAGCAGCTACAATATCCTGTTACCTTTAATATGAATGAAAGACCCTGTCTCCCAAGCGACACTGAACTACACAATATTTATAAACTGCCTGGAT